CACAGGAGAAACAAACAAAAATCAGTGAGTTATTTTTTTTGAATTAAAATAAACTTCAAAACTAAAAATAAAATAATTCACAAAAGAGTGCCCCTCCAATCAAGCTCATTCGACCTCTCTTCTTCTACTGCCATGTCGCAGTTTCTCTTCTTCAAAGCACAATATGCTTGAAGGTTCAGCTCGAGAGGGAGGTGACTTACTTGTATGAATTTGTTTTTTAAAATTGGAATTTTGGTTGTTGCTTCTGCATAAAATTCTTCATCTGAACCTACCTCATCTTCTCCTATTTCTTCCTCCATTTTATCCTTGAAATATGTGATCAGCTCTCCCTTCTTTATATCATGATTTATATCCAAAGAATGTCGAGGGAAAGGAAAAAGTGGTCCAAGATTGAGAGGTGATGGGTTTAGGTCTTTTGCAACCTTATGCTTAATTACCTCTACTGGTTGCTCTTGTTCAACTTCCTTATAATTTCATACCTAGTCCATCACATTAGGGGATGGTGGGTCATTGTCCACTAGAAGCTCTGCTTCGTCATGTTCGAGCTTGCTCCATACGCTCATTTCCTCACTTTGCTATTCCCCTTCTTGCTTTGGGGTCTCTGTGTCATTAGGACAAGCTGTTGGTGGACTATTCCTCAACTCATCAGCCAATTGATCCATTCGGATCTGCAGGTTGCGTACTGCTGCATCATTTCGCGCCATAAAATCTATCATGTTGTTGCGTACTGTTGCTTCATTTCTCGCCATAAGATCTATCATGTTGTTGCGTACTGTTGCTTCATCTCTCGCCATAAAATCTATCATCGTCTGTTCAAGGCAAGACATTACGCACGATTGTATTTGCTTTAGATTCCATGGTTGATCGTACTCCTGCTGAGGTTGTATTGGAAATTCTTGTGGGAATGCATGTTCATATGGATAGCTACTTTTAAGTTGTTGCTCTCCCCACAAGAAATTCGAATGATCCCTCCAATCTTGGTGGTAGGAATTTGAATAAGGAGTGAACTCTTGTTGAATCCTTGGTAGATCTGGATAATAAAGAGATGTAGGATTAGATGCACAATATTCAAATGAATGACAACTATCACCACAATATGAACAAAAAAATTGATTAACAGGAGCTATGAACGAGCTACTTCCCATTGGTAGAAAAAATTGAGGATCTATTTCAATCACTCCTGCTAGCTATTGGCTCAATACAAGTAACATTTCCTACTTTTCATTTCCTTCTCTTTTTCAGTTTTTTTTAAGTCTCTGTTCACGCTTTAACCTCTTGCAAGTTTTTTTTCTCGATCTTGGGATTGTATGGTAGCAGGTGAGGATTTGTGCTCATGCACTAATGCTCACTTTTGAGGTTAGATAGGGGGATATTTTCAGAACAGAAACGGTGGAGTGATTGCACACAAAAACAATTCACAAAGAATAAATTAATATGAAAATAAAGTCCCCGGCAACGGCACCAAAAACTTGTTGTGTCTCTGCTTAATAGCTAGAGGGTAAGTGCAAGTGCACACTGTCACAAGTAATAATCTGGAAATATTCCAAGTTCGTCTCCACAGGGACTAGTTTTCTTTTAAAATTGATTTTGTAAACTGCTTGAATGAGCAATCGAATTTGGGAATAAAAATTGGTGGAATTGTTGGGAACATGAAAAACACACGAAAATAATAGAATTTAAAAGGTCAACCCCCTACCAAATGATGAATTACATATGTGCCCGTAATTAAACTCAATTTATGCAAACTGGTTCAACTCCTATTCCATACCGCTTTTGGTTTGTTTAGAAGATTAGGCTAGTATTTACATATGTCTATGCAACTCTAGAATCCTAAATAAATCAAGTGCCAACTTACGTTTAACGGGTAAGAGAGGCTATGTCTAGGATCTTGTTTTAGTTCTTATTTCTAAATAACTTCCCGTTTTACCTTGATGAGATCCGTTTGACTCTAACATTTTTAGAATTAAATTCAAACTAATGTGATTTAAACAAGTGACCAATAAGAAAAATCAACTGGATAAATTGTATCAATCAAGATAAGCAAAGAGAGCGTAATACGCCGTGCTCACTGATAGATGTAATTTATAGTGATAAGAACTAAATCATTCGTAGGAGGGTTGAAGAAACAATTTACCTACTCATGGAATTGAAAGAAATTAAAACACAAGAGAAGATAACAAAAGAAAGCATTTAAATTAGAATTGGAAAGAAAGTAAAAAATGGAACAAATTGAATTCCAATAAAATAAACAAGAGTAATTGTAGAAAAATAATTGAAAACAAAACTTAAATAAAAACTACAAAACTAAAGTAGAAAGGAAAACAAAAGCATGGAAAATGAGATGTCTGATGCTTGGAAGCTTTTTTTATAGGCTATGGAGGTAACAAGATGTTGAGAAATGTATGGGAGGTTGGAACCAAATGAGGTTGTAGAGATTTTAGGAACTAATAACAAATCTTGGACCAATTACTTGGTCAAAATTTGTTATTCCCATTTTGACAATCTAGGCATCGAATGTGGCTGAAGCATTGTGAAGCTCAAACTTTCAAAGCAATTTGGCTGGTGCATTCCTCTAGTAAGCTCGAAATTCTGGTCCTACAATGTGTCTGACGCATTTTGATAATCAATCTTCATTTTTCCTTACAAAATAAGCATATTTACACAAATTAGCCTTCATTTAGCTATAACTGAATTCCAAAGTCCCTAATCACAAATTATGCACATTTTCCCCTAAATTATATGCTTGAACATACATTTTTCATCATAATTAACTCCCAACTAAGCATGTAAAACTATTATTTTTAGCCTTTAATCAAGTCTTATCAACCATCAACTTTACCCATTTCTTCTGGTCGTATACACTATGGAAGTACAATCAATCGTGTTTCTAATAATTGTTCCAACATATAAGGGATGTCGGAATCAGGAAAAGGATAGACTTTTTCTTACGTTTCTTTCAAGCTTAGCCATCTTTTCTCATTTCCTTGTTGCTTCCCAATTCTCTTTCCTTTTATTCTTGAAGACAATTTGGGAGAGATTGTGTTTACACCAAAAGATTCATTTGAAGTTTTCTCGACACTTTTGCTTTCTTTCTCTAAGTTCAGTACTAAAGAATCTTTTCTTCCTCGACTAGCAATGCTTAGCTCCATATTGTGAGCACGAGTTGCTAGCTCTTCAAAGGTGCGAGGTTTTATACCTTTAAGGATGTAAAGCAGTTCCCAATGCATACCTTGAGTGCATAATTCGACAGCGGATAGTTCAGTAAGTCTATCTTTGCAATCAAGACTTAAACCTCTCAATCGGTTTATATAGTCAATAACGGGTTCACCTTTTCGTTGTCTAGTATTAGTGAGCTCCATCATGCTGACAATTCACCTCATATTGTAGAAGCGATTTAGGAATTCTCTTTCAAGCTGTTCCCAGCTCTCGATCGTTTCAGGCTCTAGATCTGTATACCAATCAAAGGCGTTTTCCTTCAACGTTCGGACGAACTGCTTGACCAGTTGATCGCCTCTCGTACCAGCATTCTCACAAGTTTCGACGAAGTGAGCAATATGTTTTTTAGGATTACCTTTTCCGTCGAAATGCTGAAACTTTGGTGGTTGGTACCCAACATGCATTCTCAAGTTGTCAATTCTCTTGGAATATGGTTTTGAATACAAGACAATATTTTGAGAGGATCTGCCGTATTGAGCTCTGATGGAATTTGTTATCATGTCTTGGAGTTGTTGAACAGAAAAAAGTGAAGCGATTGAAGTAGAATGTTGTGATTGATTTTCTTGAACAATAGTCTTTCCCTTATCATTTATCTTGAGAGTAGGGGTTTGACTCGACTCAACAACGTCCCAACTTTCAATCTGATTCTTCAGAGAGGTGATTTGAGAATCTTTTTCTTCGATGGTCTCCATCAAATTTATGATTTTTCTCTCTATTTCTGCCATTTTTTCATCCATAATGCTTGCATCAGTCATCATAACAGACACTGTGTCAGGATTAGGATCAAATAAGGGGTTATGATTAACAAGAAACTCATTTTCAATAGATGTTTCTTGCAGCATCATTACTTTGTTCGCAGCAATAAGGAAGAGTTTGATTCTCACGTAGTTGGAGTTCATCAGAGTAACCATGGGGTCATGATAACAACTGTTGTAGAAGCCATTTTGAATTCCATTGATTTTCTTGGAAAACTTTAAGCCTTGAGAAAGATATGAGATGTAGAGATTGTCCCACTAGACGTGCCAATTTGTTCACACGAGATTTCCGGAGAAATTATATTTCGTGGAATTGAATTTTAATTTTTGTTGTATGTGTTGTATAGTGGATTCAATCTCTAATCTTTATCCTCTGATTCTTTCTCTCGAATTTGATGTGAAGATTGAGATGTTTGTTCTTGAATTTAGATCGAAGTTCTATGTTCTTCGCAAATCTTCAAGTCTTCAAAGTCTTCAAGTTAATCTTCGAATCTTCAGAGAGTCTTCAATTTTGTGTGAATTCTCTCAATTATGAAATTCTGACCCAAAATGAATGAGGTCCCCTCTATTTATAGAGGTTTCCATAGGCTTGGTGGGCCTTTGGGCTTAGATAATTTTGGGTCCAGTACAATTCTTTAAATCGAATTAAATTTATTTAAATTTAAATATTAATCCACCTGGTCTCATGGTAAATTGGGTTTTGGGCCAAGTTTGTGAACCATTGATTCCAAGCCCAATTCTCATATGATCCAATTACATATTTTAATTGTCAATTTATCTTTAATTTTAATTTAGGGTTAATATATAATTAATCTCTAAATAAAATAGATAATGACGTGGCCGTTTATGATTGGCCCAAAATTTATGGTTCTACAACACCTAAGTTAAAAATTCTTATTATTAATATTATATTTATATTAGTGATATTTTATTGATATTTTTTTATATTTTGTCAAAATTTCTCAATATTATGAAAATACCGATTAACTCCTTATATCAATGTCGAATTCATAGACGTATAAAAATATGTTGATAGAAATTTAATAATCTCGAAGAAGGATGTGAAATACTAAGAACTAATATTGTTCTTGCCATTATTTATCTTTTCCAACTTAGTAGAGTTGCAAGAGTTCGATTACAAGCCTATCTTTTTCATATTGGTTTTCCAGCTAAAAATCGACTGTAGAAATCCAAAGCTTCCCGTGGCTTGTACTCAGGTACAGTATGTCCAGATCCCTGCACCAATACCAATGTACAAATTATCATCGGATTAATAGAATAGGCTCAACTTGTTAAGGCAGACATCTTGACAAAAAGGTCGTAAATTTGAATTAGTAATCCTATATATTGAACTAAAAAAGAGAGAATTTTTTTTGTCACTTGCCTTAACGGTTAGAAAAGTGAGACCGTTCTCGTAGCCTCGTACATACCTGGAACTCGCAAAAGTAGAATTCATCTTTTAATAAAGGCTAAAGGTGTAAAACACTAATTCCAGAGTGTCTAGAAGTGCTTGTACATGAAATGCAAATGTTTGTATTCAGCAACCATTTAGAAACACTTGAAAGGGCTTTTCAACAAAGCAATTGATAGGTGCTCTACACATTTTTTCTCACTAATTACTAGTCAAGTACACTTAGGACTCGTTTGATAACGATTCTATTTCTTCATTTTCAATAAAGAAAGATAAGTTGCATGACCCAATATCTATAAATTCAAATATGATAAAACAATATATTTATTCATGTTTTGGGACAAATAAGAAATAGGAACGAGAAAGAAAAACTTGATTTGGCCGTTTCCAAATTTTCTATACAATTTTGAGAATGTTCCAAAGAAAGGAAAAACAAGTAACATATTTGTTTGCAAAATGCTTCCATTTCTTAAGAAAATTGGAAACAATAAACAAGAAACGGAAATGTTATCGGCTCTTACCATTTTTATATTAAAAAAAAAACAGTTCTAATGGATGTACTTTCTATTTAAGAAAAGAGAACAATTTTCACAAACACATCCTAAAATCTCTTTCAACTGGTTATAAGCTTTATTCCATCTTTGTTATTACATATTTACATGCAAGCTTTTATAACCATTCATAATACACTTTCAGCCTCAAAACTTTTCACATGCCTATAATGTTTTGCAGATTAAATTTAACAAACATGAAATATGAAGGTGTAGAAAACCATAAAACAAAGGTGATTGAAATGACAATTGTACCCGACAACTTGATCGTTGGATAGCCAAGGCCTCCATTCGTCGATGGTCTTGTACCCGATCGAATGAACCCAAGCTTCGCTCCCGGTGTACGGAACACACAGATCGTGATCGCCACTGCTCAGAAAATAAAAATGCAACTCAGTTTCAAAAACTTTAAGTTAATGAGTTACCTTAAATTTAATCTAGCGAATAAAGTTCAACTCTGTGCTCTCCTTTCCTTGCACTTTTTTATGAGTACTCGTATTGATTTATTTTTATTATATTTAATAAAGCGCTCGACGTCGATATCGTACCTGTAAATAAGAGCTGGATATCCTTTCAAGGTAAGGTTTTTGTGGTATGGGATCATGCTCCCAGCATCATGGTTGAAGTTAATTTTATCAGTGCACAGCTCCCAGTTACCGGCCAAACTCTATTGCCATTGATAAGAAGAAGAAGAAGAAAAAACATTACAAATTGCTGAATTTTAAGGGGGTTTTAGATATAGGGAAGCATTGATAACCTCACCATGTCAGCATGGATTGCTTTCCTCACAGCTTCATTGTTCAACCATGCTGTTGCAACCTCGTCACTCTGTAAATTATACATGAATATTAGGAGGCATAAAATGAGGTAAAAGGGGTTGGAATTAATTTAATAAAATTTAATAATTTATTCATATGTGGTAACAAATCAAAGAGCAATCATATATGGACTATTAACGAGCATATTGAGTGGTCTTGATTATGAATCCATGACTTCTCATTTAGTGGTGTGGCTACTCGTTAATATTACAGGATTATGGTTCTCAATATACTTTGTACTTAGCTTCCTATTTGCTAATTGCCTCTAGATTGCATAGTTGAGGGAGACCAAAACAACAACTTCTTGCAGGTTATAATCAATCTATCTTATCATTGCAGGTAATTGTAATCTCCTTGTAGATTTTGATTTTCTTCCAATACTGAGATAATTTTATTGCTCTATCAGGGCCCGATTACCTCAATCATGAATAAACAAAATACAATAAACCAAATATCTTGTTCCTTTTTTGTCAATGTATTTGTTCCATACTACTCACAAATCCAAGCACATGAAAACCACAAAAGCTACGACAAAACAGAGTAAACACACAATGCACCATCAATCAAAATCCAAAAAGCTTAGGAGCTGAAACTTACAGTGCATGGAACCTCCACGCTTTCAAGGAGTTGTGGCCAAGTTGGAACAATGCCAGCTCTCACAGGAGCTCTAAGGGGCCAGGCACGTCCAAACATCCTCTTCCTCACCGCGAGAGGCCTCTCGGTCTCACCGAGCTCTCGAAAGCTGCTCGGCATCCTAATATTTATGGTCTTTATCGTGTCGGGGGCATGGTAGCATGGTTCCAAAATATTGTATATGTTTAAGCCATCAACCAGCTGAGATAAATGTGATACATTATAAAGTGAGTTCAAGAACATCATCTATCCAATTTGGTTACAGCACAAATGAAATTTAGTTTCTAAAAACCAGCTTTCCATCACCTCATCAACTTTGTCAAGCTTGCTCTCACAGGCATTGTCATGGGGATCATAGTAGTTTCCTTTGCAGGCCTCTTCAACTTGCTGCATTGGCACTATATATCAAGAATTTGGAGGAAAAAGCACTATTTTCTATACTTCAATTCATATCAGGGGTTGTGCAATTACTGGCAAATCTTGTTCAAGGCAAAGAATGAAACTACACTTTAAAGTAAGGAATAAACCCACCTGAAACAGCTCATCAGAGATCAGGCCCATCCCATGTGCAAATGGAACAAGAGCATTTCCATCAAACACATCATCTGCAACTCCATTTCC